TTAACTCTTTCTCGCCACAGGCCATATCGCGTCGATCCTGAGCGATCGACGGCTATAAAATTTCATACCTTCGGTTCAGTGCATGCTATGAAGACAGAAATACCACCAATCGATTCAGAAATAAAAGATAGACTAGTTCCAAACGATAGTTATAGTCATTATTAACATTGTAACGATTTATGGGCCTTTGAAAGTCAAACACGATAATATTGTATCAAATTACGCAATTGTCTGAACAAAATATAGACTAGCCATACCTTTGGCTGAAAATAACTTCGGCCCCTTCGCACATATCGTCTTTGTAATAGTCTTGTTCGAATCCCCATCAAAAACACTATTTAGAGTGTTATTTGCAAGCCTGTATCTTCAAATCTGTATCTTTTATCAGTATATTTCCATTTCTTGTCCGACTGTGAGCTCGAAGTGAGTTAATCCCAACCGGAAATACGTCTGAAAACCGTCAAAACAATGCGACGTTTGTATCATATGACCCTGGAAAGGCCAGAAATGGATTCGCAAGGTCAAATTGCACCTACACGCGTGAGTTTGACGTCATACCGGCCAACAGGAGCTTCTTATTGGCCAATTATTGCGCAATGTTCGCAAGTGCGAGTAAAACGTAGTAAAACCCGATACCTTGAAAAATTCAAAATAAATATTTCTAGTCGGCGTATACATACCAAACTTTCTACACGAAAGCGCTTGGATACAAAGAGTATTTTACACATATAGCCGTTCAGAAAATGACAAAAAGTTCAAGAGATATTCAAGATCTTGTAGATATAAAATCTAGAATCTTTGGCCAAGCGGTGAGTAAATATATGATTGTTTCGGTTTGTGTAATGCTCTGACGGCACTTGACCCCCCGTTCGAAAGGTTATTTTATTAGGATTTAAGCCACGAAGTATTCATTGACTAGTTGTTTTCTGTCTAGTTTAGTTCTTAAGTGTGTGTGTATATATATATATATATATATATATATATATATATATATATATATATATATATATATATATATATATATATATATATATATATATATAGTATACTAGTAATACATAATCTTGTAAGAAAGAAATAAGTGAAAAAAAAACTGATTCTGATTCTGATTCTCCATTATAAGTTTTAAACGTTGTCCATACCTCCGAACATATTTAACCGAACTAATTCAAGCAGTCTGGCTTTCTGGATCTGTATCTGACGAATGGAAGAAAGCTTGTACTATTTTAATCCACAAGAAAAATGATGCTAATCTCCCCGAGAACTTCCGTCCAATAACTCTTCAATCCGTATCACTGAAAGTATTCATTTCAAGTCTCCGTAATGCAATGTTCTCTTACCTACTCGCCAATAACTTTATCGAGCACGAAATTCAAAAGGGCTTCACTCCTCATATATCGGGGACATTTGGACATACAGCACAAATGGCTTATATAATCAATCAAGCACGAATAAGACAGCGATCTCTCGTTATAACCCTTCTTGACCTCAAGAATGCGTTTGGTGAAGTAAATCACAATTTAATCCAATCTGTTCTAGGCTATCATCACATACCTCAACATATTCAACTCATGATTAAAAGCCTCTACACAAACTTTAAAACATCAATCATCACATCTGATTTTAACACTCCATTTGTAGAGGTAGGTCGTGGAGTTTTGCAGGGAGATTGCCTCAGTCCATTACTATTTAATCTATGCTTTAATACTTTTATCCAGCACATAAAATCGGAGAAATATCAACAGTTTGGTTTTTCCTATAAACTTCTCAACCCAATTCATTGGTTCCAGTTCGCTGACGACGCAGCCGTAATAACCGGCCAAAAATCTGAAAATCAACACCTACTAAACCGTTTTGCAATTTGGTGTCAATGGTCAGACATGATTATTCGAGTAGATAAATGTAGCACCTTTGGCATCAAAAAAGCTCTTACCAAATCAGTTCAATACCTCCCTAAGTTAATCATTAACAAGTCTATTATTCCGGCTATTGAAAGTGGAAAATCATTCTGCTATTTAGGAAGGTACTTTAATTACGAAATGACAAATAATGAACATAAATCGGAATTTGTATCCCTATTGACAGACCTAATGAAAGAAATAGATCTGAAGCCATTACATCCGAGAAACAAGATTCTCCTGTACAGTCGCTACGTTCTTTCAAAACTCTCATGGCATTTCATTATAACATCAATTAAGAAAACGTGGATTTCTGAAAAATTGGACTCAGTTTTCAAACAATACATTCGTAAATGGCTTGAGGTACCTATTTCTGGATCACTCAGTAATATTTACCTAACCAGTAACAAATTTGGTCTGAACATTATCCCCCCATCAACTAAATTCATACAATGTCAAACAACTATCCGCTGTGCTCTGAAGTCATCTCCCAATGAATCAATAACCCACCTCTGGAAATCGACTAGTGTAATCATACTAACACCCAACATGATCAGTATATGTCGACAAAAGAAGTAATTAAGTCATTCCGTGAAATTCAAGAAGATAAATTGGAAAATCAGTTAAAATACCAAGGTTCATTCTTCTCCAGCATTTCAAAATTTTCACATTCGATTTGGCCAACCTGTCAATCAAAACTACCAAAAAATATTTTCAACTTCACTATTCGCTACATAAACAATTCGCTACCAACCCGCAAAAACCTTCAAATATGGGGACTGTCCTCATCCTTTGAATGCTCGTTTTGCCTTAAACCTGAATCTTTGTTACACGTTGTTGCCGGCTGCAGTTCCTACCTTGATCGTTTTACTTGGAGACACGGCTCAATCCTAAATTTTATTGCTACTAACCTCCCATTAGAACATATTCAGACCATTTATGCTGACTTACCATCATTCTCTAATCCCTCTATTATTACTGGTGATGACTATCGTCCTGATCTACTAATTTTG